CCACTCTTGTCAGGAGCCCAGGCGCAGGGGGTGTAGGGAAGTGCCTCTCACACAGCCTTTTGCTGACTATGGCAATGGCTCTTGCCACTAGCGTTGTGCTGACTTGGGGTGCAGAATACATCTCCAACAGCAACATTTTGCTGATAATGGGGATGCCTCTACCATTTGTGTTTGCCCGACCTAGAGGTGTTTCTTTCACGATGGGTACCGATGACTTGGCCACTGGCCGCTTTTCATGATAGGCCTGTGTGCCGGGATGTGTGTTACAGGACAGGAGCTCTGTGGGTGAGATGATTGGTTTTGAGTAGTGAGTCACAAGGGTGTGGGGTCAGTGGACATCAGTCAGAGTAAGGTTTATGTCCTCTACTTGTGACTACTACAGGTTACCAGCTCAACTCCCTTGCCTCATTTGACTCTGGAAAACAAGAATTATTGCTGGGCTTGGTGGTGCATGCCTCTATTCCTTGTGGTTGGGAAGGCAGAGGCAGCAGGGTGGTTGTTGTAGGACTGGTCTACATAGCAAATTCCAGGCCAGACAAGGCTACAGAATGAGACCTTGTTACAGAAACTGAAACTCAAACCAGGTATGCTTTGCGTCCTGACTGGCCCAGCTGCCTAGAAGGTGCTGCTGGATTAAGTGTGATGTCAGACTATACAGCTAGCCTAGGGCAAATGGAACCCTCTCTGATGATTCTCGTCCCTTGCAAAGTTTAGATTCTTCACACTTAAGAGTTCAAGTCTGCCGGGTGGTGGCGCACGCCTTTAATCCCAGCACTTGGGAGGCAGAGGCAGGCGGATTTCTGAGTTCGAGGCCAGCCTGGTCTACAGACTGAGTTCCAGGACAGAGAAACCCTGCCTCAAAAAAAAAAAAAAAAAACAAACACCAAGAGAGAGAGAGAGAGAGAGAGTGTGTTCAAGTTAACTGAATTAAAAAAGCTGAGTCTGATGGTACACTCTGTTTTCCCAGCTGATGGCAAGAAGCTAAACTGAGCTATATAACAAGTTGGAAGTTGGCCTGGGCTACATGAGACCCTGTCTCAAACACAAAACAAAACAACCTGGGATACCTTTCAAGGTCACCACACAAGAAACAAGAAAGGGAGGCAGAGGAGGAGTGATCACTCTTGCCTCTGTTGTCGGATGACACGTCAGTCCACCCAGTACCATTGGCACAGCAAGCTTTAGGGACCAGGCAGCACCTTGCTCTGTGGACCCACTCTCTAGCAGGCTCATGGTCTAGAGCCAGTGATTATATAGGTGACATGTGTTGAAAGCAAGGTTCATAGACCTATCTCAGCAGGTTGCTTCCCTACTTTGGTGTTCTAGCTGGCCTCTTAGTTAAGCATGGAGGATGCCATGTGGTAAGGGAGACAAAGAAGCAAGGATGAGAGAGACATCAGTGTTTACAGCTCCTGGTAGGGTGGGCCAAGCCTGGTGGCATAGCAGAGGGTGTGTGGCAGGCTGAGACAGCCAAGCTCCACAACCCTGGGTTAGGGGATAGGAGAGATACAGAGGATTATCCTGAAACCAGTGGCAACCCCTAAAGGGTTTTAAGGATTGGAGACAGGGTCAGACTTCCAGAGTGTGTGTGTTCTAGAACCTGTGGGCACAAGTGAGCCTCTTCGTGAGTGACCTTTTGCCCTCTCTTAGCCTTTCCCTTGAGTAGCAGCAGAGATGGTGCCCAGGGAGCCTTTGTTTATGTGGCTCTTCCCAGGAGGGAGATAGTTCTAGTCCCTCCAGATCCCTCGCTGTGGGCTGAGCCACGTCTCAGCCTTGTTGACCGAAGCTCGGCCCCTGGGGCCAGGTTTTCTCAGCCTCCAGGGAGTCAGAGGGCAAAGTGTAGAGCTTTGAAAACTGTCTGCTCTGTGTTAGAATCCTAACTCAGCAGTTCATGAGCAAAGCAAGGCTGTACCTAAACTTTAATGTTATCAACTACAAAGCAGGAAGAGAAAAGTGAAAATCTTGTTGGAAATTGTAAGGCCTATGTCAGGCCTCACACCAGGGCTAGCATGGGGGGAATCCTGTGTTTAGTAGGACCCCATACTTTTTAATTTTCTGCTAACACTGTCTGGAAAGAGTGGTTTTGAACAAGGGACCTGAGCAGTCATCTAACACTAGGCTTTTCATATTACCTAGCTCACAGTCCAGAGAGGATGCAGACTTGAACATAGCTCCTGAGTGGAGGACATCAAAGATGGGGGAGGGTGACTATCTGTCTGAAGGCAGAAGGGATATTAGTATCAGTAAGGCTTACATGGTGTTCACCCTACAGTTCCTCTGCTGAGTACTTTATACACACATTTTCACTAATGAAGGAAAAGTAGTCATCTTCTCCCGTGGTATAGATGAGGGAACTGACGTTCTTTGACCACAGTCCCACAGTTTATCAAGAGAAAGACCTGAGCCGGGCGGTGGTGGCGCACGCCTTTAATCCCAGCACTTGGGAGGCAGAGGCAGGTGGATTTCTGAGTTCGAGGCCAGCCTGGTCTACAGAGTGAGTTCCAGGACAGCCAGGGCTACACAGAGAAACCCTGTCTCGAAAAACCAAAAAAAAAAAAAAACAAAAAAAAAAAAAAAAAAGAGAAAGACCTGAGATTCAAAGACAGGGTAACTGGTAGGAAGACAGCAGGCCTCGGCCGGGCTGTCTGAGCTGAGCCTGGAAGAATTTGGCATTCATTCGTTCGTTCGTTCATTCATTCATTTCATAGGATCTTACTGTGTAGTCATGTCTTGCTTGGTTGCTAATTTCAACTTGTGGCAATTCTCCTGTCTCAGTTCCTCAGGCACTAGAATTATAGACAAGCACTGTCATGCTTGGAAGGGAGAACTTGGCTTTGCCCAGAGGGATGAAGGGATACAGAGGAAGGGAACGCTTTCATCTGGACATTATCTAAGCCCGGGATATACTCCTTGGCTGGGAGAGGGAGCTTCAAGGCCAGATGCCTTTGGGGTCTGAAAGCTTTTGGCTTCATGATTCTGACAGTCCAAACCCAGAATTGTTGGCCTCTGTGCCTCCAGGTCCTGCTGTTGCCATGGCACCTGAATTATACTGGTCCCTCTTTTCACTGCATTGCCCCCTTGCCTGTCTCCTTCAGGTCATCTCACTTACTATTCTGAATTTAGTCATCTCTTCCAAGATCAGTACCTAGTCTTTTACTGTTCCCTAGACACCACCTTAGGACTGAACCCAGGTCCCCAGCTCCACCCACCTGCACCTGCTCTGCTTCCAGGGTCCCTGGCTTGTCTCTATCACCGTCACCATCACCCACCCACTTGCTCAAGCTGGAAGCTGGAAATTCTCCTGGACACCTCCCTGCCTTCGCCCCCACAGCCAAGCCTAACAAGCCTTGTTCTCCAGTGTTCCTCTTCTCAGGTCAGGTCTGCAGCCCCTCTTCCTGCTCACACCCCCTTCCAGAACACTACTAACTGTCACCTAGACACCGGTGACAGCCTCTTGCCTGGATTCCTTACACTCTTATGACTGCCCCACTTGCTGTCGTTTGGTAGATATAGCCAGCACGATCTTCTAAAGATAAATGTTTGATTGTGTCATTTCCCTGCTTAAAACTTCCAGGACTTCTTAGAATAAAATCCAGATTTACTGACGCAGTCTCCAGGGCCCTGTGTAATCTGGTTCTTACCTCCCTGTTTACATTGTCTTCTCCCTTTCTGTCTTACCCTCCACTGCAGGATGTTCACACACTGCACACCCGGATGCACACCTCATTCTGGGGCCCTGTTGACTCTTCCCTAGTGTCCCCACAGCAGAGAAGTCTAAAAGCTAAACACTCGACAGCCATAGGACCACCACCTCCTCCTTTTCCTCTTTCTCCTTGTGTGGATGTCTCTCTGTGTGTGGTATGGTTCATGCACGTGAGTGTGCAAGTAAGTACACACATCCGTGATATGGTCTCTCACTGAACTGAAAACTCACCGTCTTGGCTCTAAGCTGGCTGGCCAGCAAGATCCTCCCATTTCTGTCTCCTAATCTCGAACACACACACATACACACACCACACACACACACACACACACACACACACACACACACACAGCCTTACCTGGCTTTTTACATGTGTGCTGAGATTCAAACTCAGTTCTTCATGCTTGCACAATGAGACTAAGCCTCAGACCCAGGACCTTGTACTTCTTCTTGACGCTTGGCACCCTTTACTTGCTTCCCATTCTGTTTGTTCACCTGAGGCATTCAGTGGGTCTGGAACCTGTGTGACCTAGCCTTGGCACATAGTAGGTACGCAGTGAGTTGGCTGGTGCATGAAAGAACAAGTACCTCATCCTGCAGCACCCTCAGTGGCCGCTCTACTGCCAGGCCTTCCTTTTTCAATCTTTTCTCCACACATCCCCAGAGTGAGCTTTCCAAAACATAGAACTGACCCTGTCAGCCCCTGCTACTTAAAATACTTCAATAGCTCCCCATAGCCGACAGGAAAAAGCCTCAGCTTCTTACCATGGTATTCAAAGCTCTTTATGATCTGTACCCGACTCCCTGTCCATCCCTACCTCTCCTGCTTCCGCAGCATGCTTTGAACGCCTGGCTGTTTCTCCAGCAGGCCAGGCTGTTTTGTGCCTCTGTGTACCTACACTTGCTGTTCTCTCTGCTTATGATGGCTCACCCACCCCTCCCCTTGAGTAGGACTGCTTACCCATCCAGTATGGTTAGTCCACCCTACCCCTGTTACATCAGTATTAACACTATATCTCTGTCTGCCTTCCAATAAGCCTGAAGCTTGGGTGCAAGTGTGTGTTTTTTCAGGGTGCTCATCCTTCTATCTCCAATAGCTTCTCTTCTCTCTTAATTAGGAAAAAGTAGGCAAACCAGTGTCAGTAATAAAGATAGGTTTGTTACAGGGAATGGGGAATGGGGTATGGAGTGTGGATGGATAGATGGACAGATGTCACTAGTCTAGGGAGGCGGGACTTAGAATGTCAGGAGAATTTGAGTCTTCATTTTCTGCATCCTGCTGTCTGCCTTTGCCTATCTGTCCCCTCTGACTGGATTCTGGTATCCTAACCCTGGATTCTGGCCACACTCAGAATTAGCACCTAGGGCTTGGTAGCTCTAAGTCCAAATTCCCATGAGAAGATCTGATTGGCTCTGAGGGAGTTAGTTGCTACTCTGAATCACTCACCTTTAATCTGGGAGGGATCACAAAGTTAGACATGAACGAGGCTCCTGGAACCTCCTTGGGTGTGTGTGTGTGGGGGGTCACTGTTAGCCAGGCAAGTGCTTTAGAAGATATCTGCTGCGTATTTAAGGTGGAGCAGGCAGGTGGGCTGAGTGCCAGCCTTCCTTGCTGACAGCACCTAGAGAAAGAGGGCCTGGAATTGTGACTTAAAGGGAACTCATTCCAGGGTAATACTGGTTAGGGGCAGGCACTGAAGAACATGCCATGTGTGGTTCAGGGCCCAAGCACAGATAGAAGGTATGGGATGATGGATTTCTCTACTTTGGAATGGGGTGAGGCAAGGCCTGAGTACTCAGAACTCCATTTCATCATCGTCTCCCTCCAGTGCAAGGGATTAATTTCAGGGCCTTGTACACACAAACAAGTCGATATCTACCAAGCTACACCCTTAGTATTTGAACTTTTGAGACACCATCTTACTATTTAGACCAGGTTGGCTTCAAATTCACATTCCTCTGCCTCCACTTCCCAAGTGATAGGACAACAAGTATCAAACAACCACACCAACCAGAATTATCTTCCCTCTCAAATCATGCTCATCCTTTAAGACTGAACTCACCAGTGGTAGCATACACCTTTAATCCCAGCACTCAGGAGGCAGAAGAAGGCGGCAGATCTCTTGAGTTAGAGGCCAGCCTGGTCCATAGAGTGAATTCCAGGACAGCCAGGGCTACAACGAGAAACCCTGTCTAAAATAACAATAGTAATAGTAATGATAATATAATGTATTAAATACATTATATATAATATAATAATGATAATAAACATTTCCTTTCCTCAGAAAAGAGTCATCTCGTGCCTTTCTCACCAGCCAGTCATTCTTGACCTGTGTTGATTCTGTTCTTCCTGCTTTCCTAGTAATAAACCATTTGACACTTACTCTATACTAGGCACCATCCACATGGTTCCATTATGTTTTAAAGATACAGCTGTCCTGTTATTTCGTCCATTTTGAAGACAGAGAAGCTGAAGTTTGGAGAGGTAGTGTTGACGATGTAGAGACATTTGGCTGTATAACTCCACGGCAAAACTCCTGTTCTTGGCTACTTACTCTCCTGCCTGTTTGCTCCTTGGGGTTATGAGGGCTGTATAGGCCAGTGACCGTCTTATGTCTTCTCCACTGCCCAACTCAGGATCACCCCAAGCAAGGGTGTCTGTGTGGGAGTCAAATCTCCTCCTAGTGGACCTGCCTTGTGGAGCTGTATGACTGTGGGCAAGTCTCTTAATCTGTCTGGGCCTCTTCTCATCTTAAAAGTGCAGATTAAAATTCCTGCTGTGAGTTTCATATTAGATGGGGGACTATAGTGACAAATTGTAAGTAGGATAAATAACCCTGAGCAATTTCTCTTTTAAAATTTTTATTTATTTATTTATTTATTTACTTGTGTGTGTGTGTGTGTGTGTGTGTGTGTACACGGTTGTACACTGTAACACACATGTGGAGGTCAAAGGAAAGTGTGTAGAAGTTCTCTCTGCCTTCCACGATGTGAGTCTTAGGGATCGAACTCAGGTCATCAGGCTTGGTGGGAGGCCCCTTTCCCTGCTGAGCCATCTTATGAACCCCAAGCGGAGCAATTCATATAAAATAGTTATTCAAGGGCTGCAGAGATGGCTCAGCGGTTAAGAGCACTGCCTGCTCTTCCAGAGGTTCTGAGTTCAATTCCCAGCAACCACATGGTGGCTCACAACCATCTGCAATGGGATCTGATGCCCTCTTCTGGTGTTTCTGAAGACAGCTACAGTGTACTTACATAAAATAAATAAATAAATCTTTTAAAAAAAAATAGTTATTCAGAATGAGTGGTGGCAACAGGGTGCTGTTGCTCAGCTCCTTTGAGAGGGAGGCAAGGTGGGTGGGCTTCCCATCCGGTTGAGTGGTACCCTCTGTGGGACCCAAGATGGTGTGCAGAGACTCCTAGATCTGCTGTGATATAACCTCAATTTACTTGGTGAGACCATTGGTTTTTATCTCAACTCTAGAGTTGTCTAGAGTTGCTACAGGGAGAATGAGTTTGTATAGTTGTGAATGTCTCTCAAAACTCTCCAATGCTTCCCCACTTTCTCTCAGCAGAGAGATCTTAGACAGGGTTGAGCACTATGATTGGCAACTCCTTGTAGCTGAACTGTAGTAACAGAGCTTGGCTTGTTTGGTTTGGTTTTTTTGAGACAGGATCTCACGCTTCTAGGCTGACCTGGCATTTATTATGAAACCCAGGTTGGCCTCAAACTTCTGCTGGTCATGCTGCCTCCACCTCTCTGTGCTGGGGTTACAGTGTAAGCTGCCAGGTTTGTACAGTTACATTCATTTCTTTCGAGTGGGTGTGTAGGTGAGTGGACACATGCCACCGTGTACGAGTGGAGACCAGAGGACAACTGTGGGAGTCAGTTCTCCTCCTTCCACCACGAGGGTCCCAGAAATTGAACTCCAGGCATCAGAGTTGGAGGCAGGGGACTTTTACCCATTGAGCCGACTCACCAGCCTATAATGTTGTTGTTTTACTTTACTTATGTTTGCAGTCTTTCCTATTTATTAAAGGTGATATTGACTTTTCTGTTTATAGTAGCAACAGAATGTCTATCTAAAATAATTCATTTAAGTTGAAAGTGTCAATTTAAAGAAAATAATGGACAGGAGACTGGGGTTTGGCAGAAACCATCAGTGTGGTACACTAATGTGTGGAGAATGCAGGACTGTGGGGGCGGAGAGTCAGAGATGTGGACCTTTTGCCTACAGAGTTTGGAAGTTGTCCCTTCCATGTGCCTAAAAATATTGAAGGTTTCTCCTGCTGTGTTGGCATGCTCTCTTCTGCTTGTTCTGTTCTCAGGCTCCCCTCCTCTTCTTCTTACTTCTCCTCTTCCTCCTCTTCTTCCTCCTCTTCTTCCTCCTCTTATTCTTCCCTCTCCTCCCTTCCTTTTTTTTCTGGTGGTACTGGGGATCAAACCCAGGTCCTCATACATGCTTTCCCACTGAACTACCCCACCAGCTCTGGCTTGGGCTGTTCCTTGGTTTTGTTTTGGGTTTTTGTTTGTGTGTTTGTTTTGATTTTTTTTTGGAGGGGTGGTTGTGCTTTGTGACTCTTGCAGTGGTCTCTTGCAGACAGGAGAATTTGTGTGTGGTCCCTAAAACCTGGTTGGAAGGGCCTGTTGGTGTTGAGGTGTCTGGATGGGGGCAGGAGAGACTCTCATTCTAGACCAGGACTTGGGATAGTGTGATAGGATGGACTCTAGCATCATGGTCCTTCTGTCTCCATACTCAGCACTGACTTCGGAGCTCCCTAGGAGCCTGGAGCCCCAGGCTGCAGTGAGTGAGGCTTTGGGAGTTGCAGGCAAGGGAAACAGTCCTTAGAGCTTTGTGTCCCAGAGCTTGGAGCCCTAGGACAACAAAGCTAAGGAGCTTTGGATTCTCCAGGGGCCCCATTTCCAAACTCCTTCTTCTACACACCTCTTTGTGCCTGTTTGTCCCTGAGGGTTGGACTGCAGCAACCAAGAATGCCACAGAAATTAGGTTTCTCCACAGGGCTCAAGTCCAGAGCAGAGACCGCAGAAGGGAAGGAGGAAAAGTGAAGGGTCTGTCTGTGCCCTGCCTAGTCACAGTCACAGCTTGTGTACCTTGCCCTGGGCACCAGGAAAGTGGGAACCTGGGCAGAATGTGGGTGTGTGCTGCGTATTCATGGTGAGAAAGTGTCACTGTCAAGATGTATTGTGTGTGTCCCTGTGTGCATTCTCACACATATGTGTTAATAGCATGTCTGCAGCTCACTGTCCCTCCTCATGTGATACGTTTCAGGTTCTCTGAGGGAGTTTTCCTGAGTCATTTGTGTTTGTGTGTGTGTGTGTGTGTGTGTGTGTAGATCTAATGGGTGCAATGTGTATGTGGGTCTGTGGTTATTGCATCTCTGATGTGTGTCAGTGATGCACAGTGATGTGTATCTGTGCACACGTCTGGGCACACGTCTGTGCTCCGTGAATGCTAGTGCTTCATGCCTGAGTGCCCTGTTCTGGTAGCTTGCATGTTGGGTGTGGTTGTGTTTGATGTTTGTGCATGCGGCCTTCTTTGAACAGTGTGTGTCTAGCTCTGGGTGAAGGTGTTTGTTTCACTGGCCTGGAAGAGACCTGGAGATGAAGGAAGAGAGGCTGTTTCTGTCTGTGGCCAGGTCAGCTGAAGCTGTGCTGGATAAGAGAGGAAGGTCCCCAGGGTGGGCAGTGGGTACAGCGGCGGCGCCTTCCGGCTTGGTGCAGGGCTGGTAACTGGAGCCCCTTCCCTCCATGAAATATTGATCAGCTTGGAAGGCAGCCCTGACCAGGGGAGGGGCAGGCAGGAGTGCGCGCTGGCCGCTGTCCTTGGTGCTGCTGATGCTGCCCGGCTGAGCCTTTGCTCAAGCGGGAGCTGGCTAAGGAGAGAAAGGCTTTGAGCCTAATACCATTAGCAGTCCCTCTGCCCCCTGAAGAGTTTACCTGTCTCTGCCAGGACACCCTGTGGGTTTTTCACCCCATCTAGGAAGGGGGAGCGTGGGAAGCAGAAGAGTGTCTTCCTGAGACAGGTATCTTTCAGGATGTTTGCCCCGGGTTGGTCCTAGTTTACACATTTGTCTGTAGTACTCACCATACTGTTAGTAGTTCTCCTGCTTATTCTCACAGGGGTCCTGGTGGACGAGAGATGATGTGCTTACTTACTGTGAGACAGAGCCACACCTATTCCCCTGTATCTCTGGTCTGCCTGGGAGTTCTGTGGCCATGTAGGTGTACTTTACATGTGCTTGAGGGTGCTGCAATTGTTCTTTCAGTGCTGGGCTGAAAAGGATTAAATGTTTGGGAGCCCCATGTTCCCCAGGATCCTACTGCGGCCCAGGCCTTCTCCAGGGTATCATACCCTTTCCTGCCAATCCAAATTCTACCTTTCCTGTTGGATGTGGTGGTACCCAATTGTAATCCTAGAGGTTTGGGTCAAAAGGTGCAAGGCCAGCTTTGTCTATATAGCAGGATCCTATCCATCCAGTCAATTCATCAGTTACCATCCCCTTTAGCTTCTCCTGC